CCCTCGGGTACATTTTAAGCTTCCTAGCTATGGCCCCTATGTAGTAAAACCACCTCATCATTAGTAGTGTCTTGCAAGACAAAGTAGATGCTGGATTTTTCACATGTGGTAGGGATCTTTGTCATTAGAAAGTAGAAATCTCAATGGAGGTGGTCAAGATTATTCACATTTTTCATGAATTATAGAGGACGCTGCATTTTTACAAAATGGCTACTTTATCTGGTTGCTTGTAACTAGTAATGTAAAATTAATCATATATTACTGTCCAATGTAATGATATATGCTGCTTGTAGCTGTTTATCGAGAAATTTTATAGGAAAACAATTATTGCTAGCAAAACAGTCATTATGTGGTTTCGAAACAAATGAGTGAGATCGTTCTATACATATTTGTGCCCTTTGTGTTAAAAAACATCAGCTTTGACATCTGTCCTATCAGGACCGGATTTACAAGTAAAAAGCTATAAGTTGTTGCACAACTTGTAGCTTTTTACTTGAGGCCTCGACTTTCAAGGGAACTTGAAAGTCGAGGCCTCGACTGAGAACTTGAGGCCTCAACTTTCAAGGGGCCTCAAACATTTGTACAAAAAAGAAAACTGAAGTCAAATTTTGTAATAAACATTTTTTTACAAACCAACAAAATATACTTTACTTTTTATTTTGTGTAGTATTTCATTAATTTTTTTTCTAAGAATTAACATAAGATCTTTTTTAAAAAAAATTGTTGATAAAACCAATTTAAAAAAAGATTTTTAATGGAATGGGTATAAAAATTTAATTAAATTCAGTTATAAAGCATAAGCCATCTCGTTTAGAAATTGATGCAAATAAATTTCTTAGATAAAGCAGAAGATCTTTTTTAAAAAAAAAAATTGATAAAACCAATTTAAAAAAAGATTTTTAATGGAATGGGTATAAAAATTTAATTAAATTCAGTTATAAAGCATAAGACTAGTGAAACCTCACATCTTTTTCTTCCAATATCCATATTAAATCAGAGACATAGTCTGATTTAATTCTTTTCTTTTTATGACTGACTTCTAAAATTGTCAAGGGTTGGTAAGGGGCCACGCATAGTTCAGCTTAGGGCTTCGAAATGCTTAAATCCGACCCTGTGTCCTACACAAAATTACTGTAATTTTAAACTTTAAGAAAATGTGTTTTAAAATTGACAGCATAACTTGTTCATGTAAAGCTGGACAATCGGGAAACTGCCAATTCTTAACAATCTAATCCACTCTTTCAGAATTCAAGGCAGCTCATAAATATAACTGACTGATTTCTGAACAATCATCTGTTTTTCATGTGGGAATAGACAAAAACTTATATTAGGCTCCTGTAAGGCTTTGAAATTGCAATTTGAAATGCAACAGAAAGCTTTGCTTTTTCTATTGCAATTTATCTTTACTGCTGATAATACACAAGAAAATGACCCAGAAGAATAGTTTTGTTTTTAAACACCAGAGGGCAAGCATCCAGTGAAAAATACAAGTAGGTAGTAAAAGGTTGTGAGAGGCAAACTTTTGGCAACTTTGAGAGAAAGGTTTCCAAGAAAAAGGATGGTTTGTATTTCTAGAAAAAATATTTTCCTAGAAATATAAAATACACAACCAAATAACCTAAATCCTTCCAGTAACATTTTAACAAAATACAAACATTTTCAACCTCCTCCTGAGATCTGCATCAGATTAAAAGGTACAAGTTCTATAATGGAATGTATTAAACAAACATTCTGCAGAATTCAAACAGGTTATAAATATGACTGAACCAATCAGGAATATGAAGATGTGAATGGGCTAGAGCAGGGGTGGCCAACCTTTTTAGCAGGCGGGCCAAATTTCAAAAATAATATTTCCTGCCGGGCCACGCACCAAATTTTTTTTTAATTAAAGTAAACAAGCAAGCGTGCTACACCTTCATCCGCATCGTTGCTTTCCAGTAGGTGAGATCGTGGTCAAACACTTCCCTGATTTAATGTAAAAAAACACAAAAAATAGGTATATTTATTTTTTTGAAGAAAATAAAACATAACCGAGAATCATTTATTTAATAACCGAGAAACATATTTATTAGACAATTTAAAAATTTGACTTTGTTTTACAGAACTAACAAGTAAGTGCATCAAAATTGAATTTTGAAAAAACAAAAACCTATAAGAGCTAATTCTTTGCATATTTCATCATAAAAATTAATTATACATCAAATATCAATGATAAAAAATTGACATTTTTTTTGGATGGTCATTCTAAATAAAATTAGGCTGAGAAAAGTTAATACAGTTGCCTAACTAGCCTGCTTTAAAAATCTGCAAGACCTCTAAACCTCTAATATGGGTCATTACACTGGGTGTAACATATTAATTAACCTTACCTGGTTAATTTTAGCCTCAAGTTGTTGTCAGAGGCACATATGGATAGAGCGGTGGATGGTTTCAAGTTGTCAATATCATATTTGAGCTCTTTCACACATTGCTTGAAAGATCTTTTTGTGGCACCAATGTCAACTAGGTCTGTCAAACCTATAATCCTTCAATGGTATCCTATAAACTTCAGGTGATCTTTCTTTGTTTATGGTGTCTTTCCAGTTTCTTTCTTTGCCCACCAGTGGCCAAGCAGTTCTGTTCCCTGAACACTGGGAGTTCAGTCATGGGTTTGTGCCTTGCCAGAACAGGCTGGCCATGTGAAGTTTTCCAGATTTTCTCCACATCTGTAGCACCTGAATAGGGGCCATTTACACTTAAAAACACCTCCCGGAAAGCATCCTCCTAGGCAGATCGTCCAAATGTTGCATCTAACAAAACAAAATTTCCAGTTTCTTAGCAGCATGTAGCCTACATAGTGGGGTTACATCTATTTGAAACATAAGCACCTTTATGTCTGGCTATTTGTTTACATATCACATTCAAAGCACTCATAATTATGACCCACTCTGTGTTCATCAGCCCCGTTGTTGGTGTTATCATCTATATCAGGTGTTGCCAAACTTTTATCCCTTAGGGGCTACTTTTTTGGTAAAATATAGTCTGCGGGCGACTATGAATATGGGCAAACAATTTTAGGATTTTTATATGCGCATGCGTTAACATTCATTTGAATTGTTCATCGGGATAAATACAAATAGTATGGGTACGTTGCACAGACAGTCTATTATTGTAAGAATAAATTATCGAATTAAGATTTTTAAACATTAATTTAAGTGAAAGCAAATTGTTCAACTTTAGCTTCGCGGGCTGCTTTCAAAACCTTTGTGGTCGACCGCAGTCTACGTGTTGGCCATCCCTGATCTATATTCTTACTATTGTTACTCTGGGCCTTATACTTATCATATAACTGGGAGATTAGGTGCTCACTGAAGCCATGCACCTAGGCTATCTGTATGATCTTACAGTTCAACTTCCATTGGAACAATGTGGCAGACATGGAAAAGGAAAGGAATTCTTCATGTGTACTATGCCAAATTAAAAAAGTATCACTAACATATCAGAAGTATAATAGGGGAATAATGGAGTGTGAGAGATGACTGAAAATGAAAATATTTGACCTTGACATGATTTCTGCTAAAAATGGCAAATAATAGCAATCTCGTAGGGACCTCTTCCTGATGTAGGCAAACAATATTGTTAAATATAAAATAAAATATAACAAAATTTCTTCAGAAACAATATAAATAGGAAAAGATAGCATAAAATATCACTGAACAACCCACATTTTGTTAACTACATGAAAAAACAACAATTTATTTGTAAAATAGTTTTAGATTAAGGTTTCCTATTGTAATGAAATATACAAAATAAAGTAATCTTTATAGAACTTTCCATGTTAAATCTTAAATATCTTAAATATTAACTTAAAAATTCCTTCTAGTTGTGGGCCTCCCATATTACAAGGTCTGCAGGGGCAATTGTTACAATCCCAATGAAAAGATATATTGAAATGTTATTTTTACCATTCACACTTAATTTGACTTTCTTTGCAAAATCTCAGCCATATTTACTTATTTAAATCTATGTTGTAACTACAATTCCGTAAATGATATTTTTGTAATAAATTGAAAACATTTTAAATAAAAGATAAGCTATATAATATTTTTTGTCGTCTATCAAACATTAAGTCATATAAAGCAGATAAAGAGAATTCTTTTGAAAAAAAAAATATCCAGTACATCACACATTTCAATATACATACAGTAATGAAATAATTCATAAAATGAAGAGAGAAAAAAGTAAGCTAATGAATCTCATCAAGCAGTCATCTTCTTTTCACTCCGTTGCAACATAGTTTATCCCAAATATCCATAATTTATTACATTTTAAAATCCACATTAACTTTTATTAAATTTATTTTTGTCATCGAAAACCACAATTTTAGATGCAACACATCCAAGACTAAATATTCAAATCATCATCATTTTTTTTTTAACAGTCATTTCCTTTCAAAAAAGAAAGAAAAAAAAATTCTCATTATAAAAATGATTAATGTAACCTATTAAATAATAAAAAATATATCATCATCATCGAATAAAAAAATACATATACATTTATTGCATTACCATCATCAAAATGTAAAATTATAATATATAATAATACAATATAAAAGTGATAATGAGGAATTTTATTTGTATTATTATTACCAAAATTAGCAATTTGTTTATATTAATGCTACATTATATTTGTAAGCTTTATATAACAAAAGGTCCAATTCTATAAAAGTTTATTACAAATTATATTATATATAAACTTTGTATTATAATAAATAGAATGAGAAATCTTTCTTGTACATTCATATTGTGTAGAGAATGTATGTTATAGATTTGATAAAATGTTCTTTTATGAATACGATCAATTAATTAATTATGCAAGAATTATGAAGTGAGAGAGAAGCATTATATGAAAATAACGACGACATCAGTGAATGAATCAACTTCTTTGTTTAGATTTTAAACTATTTAATAAAACATTACGTATCAAATTATTGGTCATATTTCATAAGCACGTTATCTTACCTCTGTTTTAGCTCTTGCAGTAAGATTCATATTGACAGAAATGAAATTTAATTCATATTATAAGATACTGCATTTAAAACTTAACAATCAACACATATATTTCCTCTCCATCACTATTTTTCTTTCATCAGCGTACTCTGGTGATGAAATTATTAAACGCTTCATACGCAATATTTTGTAATGATGATTTTACATGTGTTATACATGAATACACCAATATTATCGAAAATAATATATCGTTGGTGATAATTCGATATAATTTATTTAAATTAGTACGTTTCTTAAGCTGAGTAATAATTTTATTATAATTGTAATATTGAGAAATATGCGTAATATTGTGTAATAGTTTGCTTGTTTACGCATAAAATTATCTAAGGTCGAAAAGTTAAATATTAATCAATTAGAAAAACTGAAAATAAAAATTTTAATGATTATTTAAATATTTTATCTTCGTGTTTACGTTATTTGAATCTGTATGTTGATACAAGGCCACTTGATCGCTTCGCGAAGCGATCAAGTGGCCTTGGTTGATAGATCGTAAAGTTGTACAACTTAAAAATATGAAAGCACTGTGTTTAAATGTATAACTAACTTATACATTAGTATTAGTATTGCTTAGCATTGGTGGAATGTATCCTATATGACGTATCTACACGTGCAGTACAGTGCCTAGTGTTATCGCTTTGTCACGCGCGCTTGTGAAACGAAGTTATAGACCCCCATTTTTAATTGCATTTTTGAATTCCGCATCGCAATTAATGGAAAATGGCAAAGTTTAATCATAGTCGATCGAACGGATTTTGAGAACGAACACAATTCTGTAAGCCTCATAGAAGAAGCTTTGCTAAAGCTCTGCTTCAAATATTGTATAATATATAATGCATATATAATTAAAGGAGAATAGATGAAAAGGTGTCGATATATGAAACCGGTTGGAAAACCCTAGTGTATGTATTTGTATTTAAGAATTTCCTATGTGGTATGTATTTAATATGGCAACTTTCTGAAGTGTGACGTAACCTATGTGTTGTTGTGAAGCCCTAATGTTTTAAGACTTGTTTAGAATACAGTATGTGGTATGACGCGTGTGCAAAAAGAACTACTGAGAAAATATTTATTTCATCCATTCTCCACAGACAGTTGTTGAGAAGTTGTCAACTTCGTGGACAACTTCTATTTAGGCTACTAATTTTTGAGTGAATTTGTTTTGTATATTATGAGTGTTTGGTACAGCTATGTTTATAATATGATTTGGCTGTAATTTGAAAAAACTGTAGACCTATAAATTCCCACTATCTTAATCTCGAGAACGAAGTTACATAGATGAAAGCCGAGACCAGATATGGAAAGATTAAGGGCAGGCGGCCGGCCCTTATTAACTGTATACGAAGTTCCGGTACAAACCGGAAGTCACGTTATTTCAATTCAAAAATTTTTTCCCGAATGGCGATAGATGACAGATACGACTCTTGCTAAAAGGAAAAGAGTGATGTACAGGGGCAAGACACTACTAATTTGAGAGATAAAAAGCATATATTTTAAATTAAATAAATAAATAATATGATTAAAAATTGCAGCACAATAAATAATTTTTATATTGTACTGTACATGGTACGTCCTATTACAGAACATTCCGAAATTTTGGTGCAAAAATGTTCGCATCTTTTCAGTTAGTCCTCCTACTGTATTTCTGGGAAGAAGTGAAAGTAGTGTGACTGATAAATATACTATGTTTACTGATTATACAATAGAACAATAAAACTGATTATATAAGAATGAAAACCAATAGGCTTTATAAGTACAATAAAAGTATGTGATAATAAATTTTAACGTTTTCAAGTGCCTTGTATGTTATATAGAGCTCCTGAGATATTGAAAAGATTCAATACCATTAACAATTCCATGGTTGAACTCGTAACTTCGGATAAGGGAGCAGTCCGGATAAAAAGCATGCTGCAGCAGCTCCCAATGGTATTTTCTTAAATGGATTCGACAGCATTTGCTATTTGGTATGTCCATGTAAGTAGTCAGTTTGTGTTAAAAAGCTTGCAACCCGATGTGATGTTTTATACAGACGTTTTTCGACTTAGACCTACTACTCGTATGTTTCGGTATACGATATTTCACACATACAATGGCCGATGCGAATGAAGGGAAAGCGCGAGAAAGCAATTAGAATTTGAATTCAAGCTGATATACTGATGCATTAATGATCTTTCTTGAGACTTTGGAATATATATATCATCTTATATCTTGTTTTATAGTATATCCATTATGTCTGCAAAACGCCCCGCAGTTATGGCGACCGTTTGTGAGTTTGGACTATTGCAATCAACGATAGCCCGAACTCACGTTACGTACTGTATAATCTTGTATATGATCTATTTAATTATTTTTATTTTCAACTTGCAATATTTTCGACTTACGATGTGTTTTTCGGAACGTAACCCCATCAGAAGTCAAGGAGAAACTGTAGTCTGGTGCATGATGTGGCAATTATTATCTTTATTATTTTCTTTTATCTTTCTATACTTGTCTATGTTTATTCTGTATGCTAGATAAACGAAGAATTAGACTACAAATATTATGAGATATAGCCCTGTACATGTTAAGAAGTTTATAAAAATTATAAAAAATAATATATTATTCGTGATAATTATTATAAATCAACTGAAATAGCACATTTTTCAAAGTTAAAGTAATGAGCTATAATATTTATTTTAAATTATTTTTAAAAGCATATTGCCATAATTTTTTTTATTTAATACATTTTTAAAAGGTTATTGCCTTTGATTCTGATTGATTTTTGCATGTTTTAATTTGTTGATTTTAAATCCATTTGTAGCCAGTAAAATTGCAACAAATATATTTTTAAACAAGCACTAAATCTGAATATCATTAATGATTACAGATAAAAATTGCTTATGACCTATACTTGACTTTAACTTCTAACGAATGTTAAAAAAAAGGGACACCACTTGACACAAGTTACTCATCATTATTATTAAATTGACCAATGTTATCTCTATATCTAAAATATATAGAATCAGGAAACTTAATAAATCATTCTCTTCAAGCATTGATAAGATGCTGCAAATGCTGAGATTAAGACTCTTTCGTTTAATTTATCCATAGGCAAAATACTATTTTAATATCAATATACTATTTTTAAATTTCTTTTTCTTTTAGGCATGACGAAAGATGATGTTCTAGAAACACTCACACTCAGACATAACATCACTCTACACGAAGATAAACGCCCTTTAACCTTTATTCTATCCTCGCACTCATGCACTTACAATTCAAACACCTCACTCTCTGTAATTCAACAAAGTGAAACAATCCGAATACTCTCTTCCCACAAATCCAACCCCTGGGTTCTTGTTCCGAGAAGTGAAAACGCCAATTTTAAAGATTTAAATTGGCGGCCGGAGTGTCTTTGTAATCATAATTTGTATCAATTAAACAAAATTTCATATACATGACATCAATAATCGGTTATTTTGATAATACAGTATTTTGTACACAAATAAAAATTATATTTATAAAGTCTTGAAAATTTAGTGTGTTAGGAAATTATCTGCGTACAGATTTAGTTTCTATTTTAGTATTGTTTAATATTTTAATATTATTAAAAACCAAAAATTATATTAACATATCAACAATTATATTTTAAATCACGAACTGTACATATTTCTACAAAACTATATTAAAATGTATATTAATGTAAAAGGAAATTAAAAGACCAAAGTATAAAATGATGTCTTCTTATCCTTAACTATTACCAGTATAGTAGTAAATTGTATTGGTAATAGTTAAGGATAAGAGTCATTTTATTTATTTTATTGTCCTTTCGTTTCCTTTTACATGTCTAGCAAGGATATTTTGGGCTACAGAAAAGAATATTATATCATACATTACATTTATTTTCCTAATAATTTGTAATATATTTAAGGAATAATTTTCAAATTATCTTTTCATTTATTTCTTTACTACTGGAAAATATAAATACGATGTTTTCCATCTTACAGCCTTTCACAGATAAAATACATTGTAGGTGAGTGAACTAATGTAACTGTTTATAAAGCAGACGAAATGAAACAACCAGATATCTTCTAAAACACACCTGTAATCCTTACAGGTAGAGAAACTGCTGTCAAGCATGTGTAGATCGTTTTCAAATTACAATATTACCGTTTTACGTTAGATGTAGCCTACATAAAACAGTTTAGTACAATCAAATATGATATCTTTATTCAATGTCTACGTATGTCTACGTATATCGTAACATTAATCCATATTTATTTTTCTATGGAGATTTGTGTTGTCATGTGCATGTGTACAGTATGTCAAGTAATCATAAATTGAAGTTTTTTTGTTTGTAAAATTTTTAAAAGTACAAAGTTCTTCGTAAAGTTCAGTACAATTAATGTCTATTGTCATCACAAAAAAACTTTTCACTATACGTCGCCTTTCGGTTTCGGCCCCTGCAGGCCTTTTAAGCTCGTTAGCGTCGTCCCTGGTTCCTCCAGTTATCATTCATTCTATTGTCAAATTCCATGTGAGGAAAAAGAGCAAAAAGATGAATAGCGTTAGAAGAGATGAGATGATAATGATTGAAAACTTGTGGGATGGTGTGTAAAGTTTGTGTTCTCGTGGCAATATTCAGTATCGTGATAATGTGATATCAAGACATTGTAAAATAATGTAATAAAATACAATAAATTCCTTAAAATACAGGCTTTACTTGCTCTTTCCATAATTATATTGTGGAGCTGATGCAGCTAAGTGCTAATAAGATTCGATTTTGTATAATCATAGTCTGAAAAGTGAACTTACCCTTTATTAAATTCCAATTCATATTGATCAACAACATAAATATTTAGCTAAATAAATTGTATGTACAGTACATTTATTAGCTGTATTTTGATCACACAATGAATTTTGACTTTTAAAAGGAATTTTTTAGAATTTTTTTTAGAATTTTCCGATTAAAATTAAAGTAATTTTTATTCAATTATTTTATCATTTATAAATTTTGTAATAAATTTATTTTTTATTTTATTTTTAGCCAATAAAAGTTAAAATATTTAATTTCTATTATAGATTTTTCTTTTTGGGATTCATCGCATAGAAAGGTCGATGTACGTTTTTGCGAATATTTTTCCCTTCTTCCATTAACTTTTCATTATTTTTGTCAGATTCCAAAAGTTTTACTTCTTCCCAATCAATTTCTTCATCAGTTTCTTCTTCGCTAGAATCTCTGAAAGAAGTATTTATTTATTTTCAATTAATATAATAATTCCAATAAATTTAAATATTTAAATTTTACATTCGTGAGAAAAAGTTAAATATTTCCAAAATAATTTACAACCATTCATCTGTCATGTTATGTACGTGAGTACTCGGGGCACTTGCCAAGCACGAAGATTGAATTTATTCAAAGGATTTCTAATAGTATGGAAAAATGCAATTCAAAAAAATATATATGCATTATTGCATTAAAGGCGTGTATTGTAAGAAATAATTGTGTCATAAGTATGAATTTACTGTACTTTTTAAAGATAATAGATACTGCGTTAGTATCATTTAAAAGTAGATTTGAATTATATGCAAATCACCAGTATATTTTTGGTTTTCTATACATGAATGAGATTGCGAATTTAGATGACGAATATTTATTAAAATGCTGTCAAGGCCTTCACTTATATATGAAAGGAGATTTCGACGGAATTGAAATATTTGAAGAGATTTAGATGTTCCGATCGATAACTCAAGCCAATTATTCGGCTCTAGATGCGATGAAATACATTATAAAAAACAATCATTCGGAAGCATACCCAAATTTATTAATTGAGATACAAATAATGTTAACTACGCCAGTAACCCCGGCTTCAGCTGAACGCAGTTTCTCACGGTTGAAATTACGTATATTCGATCATCAATAAGCCAAGACCGATTTACATCTCTGTCTATTCTTTCAATAGAAAGCGAAGTAGCAAACTCGATCAATTTTGATATAATCAAAGATTTTGCAGAGAAAAAAAAGCAGGAAAAATTATGTAATATTCATCTTACAAAAAATATATGTAACATTCTTTGTACTTATAATAAATAATTCCTTATTGTGAAATTTAACTATAGGATTTGAATGTATTCTGGCCCCGCAAAAGGTCACGCCGGCCCTGCGCGTGAGGCTCCAAGTGCCTCTTACACCTCCCGTCCTTAGCAGTTAGCCTGTTCCCAATGTATTGCTACGACTCTGCTACGACATATAGAAACACAAAATACTTTGTATGTGAGAGTTAATTGGGGATAAAAATAAAATTTGAGTTACGGAATTTCAAGTTACCGAAAATCTTGGGTGTTTCTTTTTAATACATTTCAAAACTCAAATTCAGTACTTTCTTCAGAAATAGAAGATATTTTTTAAGATGACATATATATTCTGGCTTTTGTACAATTTGGATTCTACTTATTAACCCAGAAACTTCGTAACATCTATAAAAGCTTGCAATGATGTATTTTCTCTTCACTTCACTTTCAAATGTAGAATCATAGAAATATTCTCTGATATCAAGACCTATTTTTTAACTTTTCATGTTTAAGACTGGAAATTTTTGACATACGAATTTAAAGCAGATCCATTTTTTATTTAGTGTCTTAATAAATTGTTTTATCACCCGAAAGCCCATTTCTCATGCCCTCCTTTTAATGTAGAATGCAGAAAACTCCGCGCATTTTAATACTTATTTAGATCAACTATTGTTTTAGAACAACAGATAAAATCTTAGGCTATATGCTATAGTTGTAAGATTTATATATGAAGTAACTTACTTTTCTTCGCTTATATCCGAATAATCGTCATAATCCGTTGGAGAAAGACAAACAACACATTTTTTTCCAATTTCCTCGAAGCAATTTTGACAAAATATTGCTAAATAATAGAAAAAAATTAAACAAAATATACAAACTGCAAATTTTTGTTTGTTTATAAATTAATTCTAAAATAAATTCTACAGTTAAAACAATAATGATTAAAAGAAAATTTTCACTATTTTATAAGTTTTGATGTAATAAAAAAAATTCTAATTACCTTTACAATTTTGATTATCGCAATGTATAAATTCTATTGGATCGTTTTTAGATTTTTTAATTCCACATCCAAGACACGTTTCCTTGAAAAGATTAAGCTTTTTCGCTATTTTTTCTACAATTGGACATCTAGAAAAAAGTCAAGTTACTTGTACAATTTAAAAGATATTGCATAAATAGATAATACACAGACACTTTTATTTAACTCGTATGTTATAACTAATCTAGTTGACCGAAATAATTTTAAAACTATTTACTTAGCACTAAAATATTCCAGAAAACTAATTTTATGTAAAGTCGAATCGCCGTAGTATTTTTGTCTTATTTTCCTTCTCAAAAATTTCACAAAGTTCATTCTTGTTCTTAAAATATGATTATAAAGCCATACGGCTCTTTGTTTTTTTCTTTCCGGAAAAAACATTCCAGCTATTACGTGGCGAAGTCTTAGTCCATAAGATTCGGTGATGACCAAAAAGAAACATATAATAAAGATAAAGGCTGAAAACAAATTAAATATTTAATCATTTATAAATAATAATAATTCCTCGTATTTTCTTATTCTTAATGGTTCTAAAATTCTATTATCGTCTAAGAAATTAATCATTTCCTCGGCTTTTTAAAATTAATACAAGTCGACCCCCCTATAACACTGTTGATTTTTCCGTTTTATATGAATTCCATGTTATACGAGTCACTTATATTTTACAAATACGTGAGACGTTCATAGCCCGGCACACGTATTTGTAAAATCTAAGTGACTCGTACAACATGGAATTCATATAAAACGGAAAAATCAACAGTGTTATAGGGGGGGTCGACTGTATAATAATTAATATTTATATAAAGTATATCGATAGTACTCTTTACCAATTTGTTCATAACGATCGTAATCGGGTAGAAGAGGTCTCGGCAAACAGTTGGTCGTATCCACTATCATTTGTTTTCTGGTCACAGGACCAAAAATTCCTACCAGTTTTCGAAGCATATCAGCCAAAAGTCCTTGACCTTTCACTTTTAAATCGATGTGCGAAGGCACTGTATATTAGTAATAAAACAAAAATTGGTACGTTTTAAAGGAAACTCCGAAAAAAAACAAAGAACGGGTTAAATTAATATGAACTCACCCTCGTTCTCTGTTCGCAGTTGTCCGTGGAATGTTACCATAGACAGCATCCAAAACAATCCGTAATCAATTATAATAAAAAATCCGATTTGTATGAAAGTTATTATTAAAATAATTAAGCTGCTGGCAAGATGACCGTATTCGTTAGTAGACAGTCGTAACGATGAAGCGGTTACGTATACCATTCTTTCTTTAAAAGATAACGGGAAAATGGTCTCTTTTCCCATTCCACAGCGTTGAGTGTCGAGTTCTCTTAACTCGAATGTTAAAAAGTAATTATCGAATTTATCCTTAATTCGAAACCAAAGTTGATATTTTAATGCGCTAAAAAAAAAATAGAAAAAACATTATTATACAAGATATTTGAATTATTTTAGCAATTAAGGGAAGTTATAGATCTATCAATATATATGTTTTTTATTTATATTTCCAGGTTGTGTTATACATATTTTCTAAACATTACAGGTTCTGTTATAACAGAGGAAAAGTATGGCGATCGATCAAAAAATGACCAATATTTGTACATTTTTGGACTCAGCGGATCTTGAAACGTCAAGAAGTGCAAAATATCATGGGGTTTTTCTGTATGTATGTATGTTAGTCTTTGTGGGGCACGACTTTGTTCATCCATTTTGAAGCTTAATAACTCCCGCGTTTTTATTCGAAAATTTCTGAAATTTTTCAGAGATGTTTACGTATTAGGGTGATTGACGCCATTAAATTTTGGTGGTTAAAGGTCGACGGGGTGGAGAGATAAAGGGGAGTATGTATCTCCAGTAGGGTCAGACCTAGTGACGATTTTACTTGTTATTTTCATTTAAAATTCTTTTATAAAACCCATTCCTACTTACCTAATAAAAAGTAATACGAAAAACATAAACATAGCTAAATCTGATAATTCGATTAAAGATGTCATCCAATTGGTATATTTTCTGACTTCACGCATAATATCTTCTTTCACTTCAACCACGGATTTACTTTCTTCTACAGAATAATTATACACGTGAATCATTGAAATATTCACTTCGAATTCTCTTTCCAACGAACGGGCAGCCTTTTTAAAAACTATTTTAATTTTGTTTTTTCAATAAGAATGTTTTATATCGTGTTATCAATTCAATTTTTATATTAATTTAGTAAGTTGTATAAAATCTTTGTACTTATAATAAATAATTCCTTATTGTGAAATTTAACTATAGGATTTGAATGTATTCTGGCCCCGCAAAAGGTCACGCCGGCCCTGCGCGTGAGGCTCCAAGTGCCTCTTACACCTCCCGTCCTTAGCAGTTAGCCTGTTCCCAATGTATTGCTACGACTCTGCTACGACATATAGAAACACAAAATACTTTGTATGTGAGAGTTAATTGGGGATAAAAATAAAATTTGAGTTACGGAATTTCAAGTTACCGAAAATCTTGGGTGTTTCTTTTTAATACATTTCAAAACTCAAATTCAGTACTTTCTTCAGAAATAGAAGATATTTTTTAAGATGACATATATATTCTGGCTTTTGTACAATTTGGATTCTACTTATTAACCCAGAAACTTCGTAACATCTATAAAAGCTTGCAATGATGTATTTTCTCTTCACTTCACTTTCAAATGTAGAATCATAGAAATATTCTCTGATATCAAGACCTATTTTTTAACTTTTCATGTTTAAGACTGGAAATTTTTGACATACGAATTTAAAGCAGATCCATTTTTTATTTAGTGTCTTAATAAATTGTTTTATCACCCGAAAGCCCATTTCTCATGCCCTCCTTTTAATGTAGAATGCAGAAAACTCCGCGCATTTTAATACTTATTTAGATCAACTATTGTTTTAGAACAACAGATAAAATCTTAGGCTATATGCTATAGTTGTAAGATTTATATATGAAGTAACTTACTTTTCTTCGCTTATATCCGAATAATCGTCATAATCCGTTGGAGAAAGACAAACAACACATTTTTTTCCAATTTCCTCGAAGCAATTTTGACAAAATATTGCTAAATAATAGAAAAAAATTAAACAAAATATACAAACTGCAAATTTTTGTTTGTTTATAAATTAATTCTAAAATAAATTCTACAGTTAAAACAATAATGATTAAAAGAAAATTTTCACTATTTTATAAGTTTTGATGTAATAAAAAAAATTCTAATTACCTTTACAATTTTGATTATCGCAATGTATAAATTCTATTGGATCGTTTTTAGATTTTTTAATTCCACATCCAAGACACGTTTCCTTGAAAAGATTAAGCTTTTTCGCTATTTTTTCTACAACTGGACATCTAGAAAAAAGTCAAATTACTTGTATTCAATACAATTTAAAACATTGCATAAATAGATAATACACAGACACTTTTATTTAACTCGTATGTTATAACTAATCTAGTTGACCGAAATAATTTTAAAACTATTTACTTAGCACTAAAATATTCCAGAAAACTAATTTTATGTAAAGTCGAATCGCCGTAGTATTTTTGTCTTATTTTCCTTCTCAAAAATTTCACAAAGTTCATTCTTGTTCTTAAAATATGATTATAAAGCCATACGGCTCTTTGTTTTTTTCTTTCCGGAAAAAACATTCCAGCTATTACGTGGCGAAGTCTTAGTCCATAAGATTCGGTGATGGCCAAAAAGAAACATATAATAAAGATAAAGGCTGAAAACAAATTAAATATTTAATCATTTATAAATAATAATAATTCCTCGTATTTTCTTATTCTTAATGGTTCTAAAATTCTATTATCGTCTAAGAAATTAATCATTTCCTCGGCTTTTTAAAATTAATACAAGTCGACCCCCCTATAACACTGTTGATTTTTCCGTTTTATATGAATTCCATGTTATACGAGTCACTTATATTTTACAAATACGTGAGACGTTCATAGCCCGGCACACGTATTTGTAAAATCTAAGTGACTCGTACAACATGGAATTCATATAAAACGGAAAAATCAACAGTGTTATAGGGGGGGTCGNATTTATCCTTGTCCAAATACATAGAACTCTTCCAAACCTTCTTAACTCTTCTAATGTTCATTTGGTGATATTACAATAAAGTTAACATTTATGTTCATTTGACCTAGCTCCGCGGGCCGCAACACGACTCCCGGCGGGCCGCATGCGGCCTGCGGGCCTCATGTTGGCCACCCCTGGGCTAGAGTAAGGTGTTAAGATCAGATCAAAGTGCTCCTGCTACATATTAAATTTGATTTTTGTCTTTATGGTTAACCCCCTTCTCAGTCATATTCCATATGCAATGATTGCTTTTTTGACTTTGACATATGTCATATGTGCATTCTGAAAAATGCTCTAAAAAATTTTATTTTAATGTTTCTGATGCATTCATTGTTAAATGATTCACTATTTCTCCAATAGATGACATTTGTTACAAAAATTATTATGCAGTTTTTGGAGGGAAAATATAGTTTATTTTCAGAACCTGACAGTATCTTTGGAAATTGTTTGAAAGAAAAACTACCAAAAATAATAATAATAATAAAACAATTTTGATTATTTATTATTAATCATTAAATATGTAATAAATAGTTTAAAATAATAAAGTGAATAACTGAAATTATTAATAAAATAATATAAATTATAAAATAAAACATTTTATTTTTTGAAAAAACAAAAACCTATAAGAGCTAATTCTTTGCATATTTCATCATAAAAATTAATTATACATCAAATATCAATGATAAAAAATTGACATTTTTTTTGGATGGTCATTCTAAATAAAATTAGGCTGAGAAAAGTTAATACAGTTGCCTAACTAGCCTGCTTTAAAAATCTGCAAGACCTCTAAACCTCTAATATGGGTCATTACACTGGGTGTAACATATTAATTAACCTTACCTGGTTAATTTTAGCCTCAAGTTGTTGTCAGAGGCACATATGGATAGAGCGGTGGATGGTTTCAAGTTGTCAATATCATATTTGAGCTCTTTCACACATTGCTTGAAAGATCTTTTTGTGGCACCAATGTCAACTAGGTCTGTCAAACCTATAATCCTTCAATGGTATCCTATAAACTTCAGGTGATCTTTCTTTGTTTATGGTGTCTTTCCAGTTTCTTTCTTTGCCCACCAGTGGCCAAGCAGTTCTGTTCCCTGAACACTGGGAGTTCAGTCATGGGTTTGTGCCTTGCCAGAACAGGCTGGCCATGTGAAGTTTTCCAGATTTTCTCCACATCTGTAGCACCTGAATAGGNATGTTATACGAGTCACTTATATTTTACAAATACGTGAGACGTTCATAGCCCGGCACACGTATTTGTAAAATCTAAGTGACTCGTACAACATGGAATTCATATAAAACGGAAAAATCAACAGTGTTATAGGGGGGGTCGACTGTATAATAATTAATATTTATATAAAGTATATCGATAGTACTCTTTACCAATTTGTTCATAACGATCGTAATCGGGTAGAAGAGGTCTCGGCAAACAGTTGGTCGTATCCACTATCATTTGTTTTCTGGTCACAGGACCAAAAATTCCTACCAGTTTTCGAAGCATATCAGCCAAAAGTCCTTGACCTTTCACTTTTAAATCGATGTGCGAAGGCACTGTATATTAGTAATAAAACAAAAATTGGTACGTTTTAAAGGAAACTCCGAAAAAAAACAAAGAACGGGTTAAATTAATATGAACTCACCCTCGTTCTCTGTTCGCAGTTGTCCGTGGAATGTTACCATAGACAGCATCCAAAACAATCCGTAATCAATTATAATAAAAAATCCGATTTGTATGAAAGTTATTATTAAAATAATTAAGCTGCTGGCAAGATGACCGTATTCGTTAGTAGACAGTCGTAACGATGAAGCGGTTACGTATACCATTCTTTCTTTAAAAGATAACGGGAAAATGGTCTCTTTTCCCATTCCACAGCGTTGAGTGTCGAGTTCTCTTAACTCGAATGTTAAAAAGTAATTATCGAATTTATCCTTAATTCGAAACCAAAGTTGATATTTTAATGCGCTAAAAAAAAAATAGAAAAAACATTATTATTCAAGATATTTGAATTATTTTAGCAATTAAGGGAAGTTATAGATCTATCAATATATATGTTTTTTATTTATATTTCCAGGTTGTGTTATACATATTTTCTAAACATTACAGGTTCTGTTATAACAGAGGAAAAGTATGGCGATCGATCAAAAAATGACCAATATTTGTACATTTTTGGACTCAGCGGATCTTGAAACGTCAAGAAGTGCAAAATATCATGGGGTTTTTCTGTATGTATGTATGTTAGTCTTTGTGGGGCACGACTTTGTTCATCCATTTTGAAGCTTAATAACTCCCGCGTTTTTATTCGAAAATTTCTGAAATTTTTCAGAGATGTTTACGTATTAGGGTGATTGACGCCATTAAATTTTGGTGGTTAAAGGTCGACGGGGTGGAGAGATAAAGGGGAGTATGTATCTCCAGTAGGGTCAGACCTAGTGACGATTTTACTTGTTATTTTCATTTAAAATTCTTTTATAAAACCCATTCCTACTTACCTAATAAAAAGTAATACGAAAAACATAAACATAGCTAAATCTGATAATTCGATTAAAGATGTCATCCAATTGGTATATTTTCTGACTTCACGCATAATATCTTCTTTCACTTCAACCACGGATTTACTTTCTTCTACAGAATAATTATACACGTGAATCATTGAAATATTCACTTCGAATTCTCTTTCCAACGAACGGGCAGCCTTTTTAAAAACTATTTTAATTTTGTTTTTTCAATAAGAATGTTTTATATCGTGTTATCAATTCAATTTTTATATTAATTTAGTAAGTTGTATAAAAATTTAAATAATATTACTTACAAACTTTAAATGGTTCTTTTATAAGTTTACTCAATTTCTCGCCCAATTTACATAATTCGTCTAGCGCTTCATATAAAATATTTCATTTAATACAATAAAGTAATTGATTTTATTCACGATATAAATGTTTTACTTACGGATAAGTACTGAGCAGATGATTAATTTTACAACTTTAACTACATTACAAACGATACCAATAATTGATCCTAAGAAATCATAACAATCATGGTAAGCTTTGTTAAATTTTGCTATGCATTTTTCATATGGGTTTCCCATAGTACCACTGCATATATCTAAACGTTTTCTGAGCCATTTCAAAGCACGATTAATTGAGCGCACTGTTAAAAATAATTCACTTATAATTATGCAAATATAAAAAGATTTTTAAACTAAGAAAAAATAAGATAGATAAAATTTTTAAATAGGTCTATATAATATTTTATTTTATAAAAATACATATTAACGGGGTGAGTCAAAAAATAGTATGAAATATGTGGAATAAGGAAAGGGTGTGGAAGAAAGTTGGTTGTTACTAATGATGCTAAAAACCGAAAAGCATTGCGACAAATGTTTGACAACAAAGAGGCGATTACCAAGGTGGAAGCAGCTAACTTTAAAGGTTCAATTGTCATCGAACATGCGTAGGTAAGACACTTAAGAATATGGGCATAAAGAAAAAGTGCATCTGGAGTCCATCCACTTAAGAAGATGGGCTCCAGAATACATCGCTGAAAATTGCTGAAATCCGAACGCAATGTAGGAAATTTTGGAAACAAAACGTTCGTTTTGGACGACGAGTAGTTCTTTTCTCTCTCCGGCATGCAAGTACTATACCAGGAAATGAAATTTACTATACGAGTAATGAAAATCAAGCACCTCCCAAAGTAAAAATTTGAAGCAACAGTCATGCTGTACTTTGACGTTTAATTAGCAGGTGTTTTGAAGCCATTTTTTAAAGAAGGAATCTCTTGCAATTGATGCTGACACGTATCAAAACGAATATCTAAAGAAATTTCTAATCCCTTTTCTTAACAAGCATCATCAAATTGACAATTTCATCTTTTGTTCTAACAAAGCTTAGTCTCATCGTGCAAATTCGACCGTGGAGTGGAGTTCCTCAAAACCAAAAACATTTCTTTTGAACTCAAAAAAAAACACAATGCCATCCAATTGAAAATTTCTTTGGATATTTGGCACAAATAATATACAAGAAAGGTTGGTGAGCAAAACATACCACACAACAGATCCGAAGAATCATACTTTCACTTAAAAAATTGACATTAACGGGGTCCAAAGAAGATGCCAGTCTATCAAAACAAACTTTCAGTGCATCGCCGACCGTGTTCATTAATTCTATACTACTGTAAATTAAATTTCTTTTAAAATGATATATAAAATTTAATAATTACTTCAATTTCTCGATAAACTATTATGCTTTAAAAACAGTTCAGTCTTATCCCGTTAGATTAAAAGCCTTAGTAAATCTTAAAATTTTAATAATTAGATCATTTCTCATTAAACTTTTATTATTCTTATATTTTAAACACTGATTACATAAAAATTTTTAAAGGGATGTAATTTTGAGGGTGAATATGCGTGACAGACTTACAGGGACTGGAATGATAGTTAAAAAGTATAAAAATAACGTTACGTAATTTATAAGGGACTCCAAAATACGGTGAAAGAGAATCGTTTATCTTTTACAGTTGAGCATGATAAAATGTTAAATTAATATAGAAAATAAAATTTTGAATACAGTATATATCTACACGCCGTTGGTGATACTTCGTCAATGTTAGCGCCATCATTTGTTAACGGTCTCTTCAACAGAACCAAAAAGAACACGAGTGTTGCTAACGTTGCTGCAACGTTAGAGCACTGGAACACGCAGATAACAGTAGTGGTATAAGGATAAGGAATGATTTTGTTTATATTCCCTATCAAGTAAAGTTGAATAAATATACTATAAACTCGAAAAGCAGTTTGCATCAAAATCTAAATAATTTTATCAAAACATAAAACTTTAAACGATATTCTGATAATCTAACAGGCAAATATACATCCATATAAATGAACCAGGGGCGTCCGTACATTGGGTCACTTGAGGCACGTTTTCTTTTTTCCTAATGCCCGAGGGGCCCCAAATTCCGTTATCAACAAATCAGAAAATTATTGACTTCTAGTCTATTCTGTAAATATAAAAGAAACTGATGAACGATATCTGTCCATTGTCTCATACAACTTCGTCGTATGTCGACCAAAACTTGGCCTGGAAAACGGAGAATATTCCTTGTTTTAAGGAATAAGTTAACCCCAATTGCAACTAGCACCATACATCATGACCTGAAGCTTCTTCCATAATTTTAAATATATGAAGACGATGAATCATAATTTGAAGCTTCTTGCATAATGTATGCTTCCCCTTTTTATAGCCTATGCCCCCTCCTTTTGTATAATTTGCGGGAGCCGTTGAAAAAGACCATTTCAACAATGTACTATATGGAAGAGGGGGATTCATTTGTATTCGACGTTTGCTGACGATTGGGGAAGGGAGGGTGAGTTTTGATGACGTAAGATTGCAACCATTGTTTATTTTTCTTCTCAGTCAACACAAATTTTGTCTGAAAATAATTTGTAAATGGCTTCAACTACTGGCCTGTTGGAATAATTAGGAGGGTGTACATTGATTTCTAATGATGAGGGAGGGAATCAAAATAGGACAAATTTTTACTGATGTAAAACTTGAACAGCACCAAAGTTTCTAAAAGAAATTGTTTTGTAATTTGTTATATTTTACTACATTAAACAGTAATATACCAGTTTATGTTTAAATAATCTAAAAATGAACATAACAGTTTTAAAATATATTTTAGGAATTACAATTCTCTCTTTAAACAAAACAAAAATATACAAAATAATCATAATTTGTTAATAAATAAAACAATTTATAAATTTATTTTCTTTATGAACAGTTTTATTGATATATATTTATTTTTTACCTATGTTTTTTACAACTCTTTGAATATCTTTAAAGACAGCCTTTACATTATCGGCAAACTCTTGTAGTGAATTTTTTATTTGTTTCAACGTTTCGACTATGGCTGAATTCAATAAAAAGAAATAATTTAATATTATTGTAAATTTGAAAACTAATTTCAGAATTTCTCTGTACTTACAGAGCCAAGGCGCGAACATGTCTTTTAGTATTAATTTTGTTTGATTGGCGACTGCCTCTTGTCCACAAGCGATACTTCCGGCCAAAACATCGGTATTTTTAACGACATTTTTCATAGGTCCACTTAATGCCAATAAGTAAGCAAAAGCTAACAATGCATGTCGTCCTCTATCTTTAAAAATTAATTTTTAATTGTTCTATTTATATATTTTAATTAATATTTGAATATTTATATATTAATTAAAATATATAAATTATCCTACTTGTAATTTATTATTATTATGTATCAGTATAGAAGGAGTCGGCGAATTAAAGGTAATTTTTCGTGAACATTTTTACTGTTAAAATTGTGAACGGTTGCAGATAAATTGTGTAATCTTTTCAAAATTTAAGCGATTAGCAGATAAATTCAAATCAAAATTTATAAATTTCTTTTGCCAAATTTTACTCACAAAATTTAAAAATAAACCAAAATTATATTGCACAAGTTTTTCTAGTGAACGAGGCAATATACACTCATGGCCATAAAAATTAGCGTACCAAGAAGGATAAGGAGTTTTCGCTGCGAAACTTGGCACGCAGATGAGTCTCAAGCAGATATAAAAATTATTAGAGATATAGCGTAATGGCTCATTGCTTAATGCCAGCAGAGGGCATTAAAGTGCGTCGCTCGTGGCCTATACACGCGGAAAGGCATCCTGTCTGTAGTTTACCTGTTGCAGAGGGACGCTGTATCACTAGAGATGGCTTTACATCGTAACCCAACAACTAACCGAGTGTGAGGGGAGAATTATCGGGTTGAGAGAAGCAGGATGGCCACCTCACTGAATAGACCGCCACCTAGGCCGTTCTGACAACACTGTGAGGATGTGATGGAACCAGGGGACGAAAAAGGACCTGATCCTCCAACAAGCACGCACACTGACTATCGTATCATTGTCTACCATTCGAACACAGGTGGCCCCCATCATTACAGGCACCGGTGTCTGACCGTATTATTTTGAGGCGACTGGATGAGGAAAATTTCGTATCGCAGCGGCCGTTACGTATTCTACCATTGACACCACCCACCATCACCTTGGTTTTTGGAGTAGTGTCTCTTCCGATGGGATTGGACCGCAATAGAATGGAACTGAGTCGTCTTCAGCGACGAATCCAGATTCAATTTGTCCACTGATGACGGACTGTGTTCGTGTCTGAAGGCTCGTGGTGAACGCTTCAATCCTGTTTTCGCTTTGCACACCGCCTCCACGGCTAGTATGATGGTCTGTGGTGCCATCACATACGACAACTGGTCACCTCTAGTAGTGATCCACGACCATGATAGCCCAGAGACATGTTAGTGACATCCTGCAGTCACATGTGTTGTCTCTCATGACAGGGCTAATTTTCCAACGGGATAATGCTCGACCACATACCGCAAAGGTGTCACCGGACATTTAAAAAATAAAAAATAAAAGCTCTTTCAGCCTTGTGGTCACTAAGAGGGTTCGGCCAGGCTCACAATGGGGCAGCCGGGTGGTGAGGGATGGCCCTGACATATCCGGACAGACTATCACCTGAAAAATTCCTGGGGTTTTTTCAACCCGAACAGATTCAATCTCGGGTTGCCAGAGCGACAGGCGCCATCTTGGCCTCTCCATCAGGCCTCAAGATGGCAGCCTACAAGGTGGAAGTGTGACAATGTGTCACAGGAATGCCTCTACCACATTAGCCTGCCCTTCCCTGATTTGTTTCCGATCGAACATATCTGGAATCACCTGGGACGCTAAGTTGAATAGTGTGAGAATTTTGCTGAACTAGAAGATCGCTGGCAGCAACTGTGAACTGAGATGACACAGGACACCATATGGCGCTTATATGCTCTATACTGGACAGTATCACATAGTGTATTCACGCTAGAGGTGATCCAACAAAATGCTAGAACCTCACCTTTTTTTATTTGTAGTTTTTTCTGCAATAAATGATCCCGTTGCTTTAATTTTGTAATCACTTACTTATATCACCGTTACACTCACACATACCATTTCGTTTAATTCCGACAATTCCTTCTTGGTACGCTAATTTTTATGGCAATGAGTGTATTTTTTCATCTCATTAATATATCTAGTTATTTGTCTTTTAATCTCATAAATTTGACACTGATATGATGTATTTTACTTTTACAAGAAAACTAGAATTACAAAAATAGAAAGTAGTATCAGGCAATTCGTGTGTCTTAGGTAGTATTTAAAAATTAATAATTCCATTTATAATTGGGAAAAAGAATATAAAAATTTTTATTGGCGAAGATTTACTTCGAATATTTTTGAATCTAGTTAAATTAAACAATATTGAATTAAAATGAAATTATTAAATTACAAATGCAACATTGAATTAAAATAGAAAATTAAAGTAAGTTATGACTAAACAATAAATTAATAACAGAAGTTAATATTCATTTATTTAAACACTATTGAGCATAACTCCGATAGAGTCTATAGAATGAGTTAATATAAAAAAAAATACTATTTTATAAAGGTATTTTTCTAATGTATTTATTATAAATATAAAATTATATATATGTGTGTGTTTATTGGTTAATTTCTTTAATGTTCATACATTTGAAAATTCAATCACTTACTACTGAACAGTTGAGGCAACATAAGTAAAACTATACAACGGATTCGAACCGAAAAAGCAGCACCCAGAGTAGTGATGAATCCAATGACTATACAGAATACCATAGTAGTGAAAGGAGATATGTTTATCAAATAAACAAAATACATATAAAATAAAATGATCATTCCTATTGATATTAACATTCCGATGAAGCCTTTTATCGATTGATTTTCAAATGTACCGTCTGTATTTAATCTTCTGAAATTTTCAAACATTTATTATATAAATTTAAATCGATATTTATAAAATTTTCATTTTATCTATGCACTAAACAGTAATCATAAATTAATATTACTTTAAGATTTGCTTTTTAAAATATTTTAAAGAATGATTTTTCTAATATGAAATTTTTCCTATACAAAATAGTTATTTAAAATTAATTACATTAACAGTAACATGTAACAACGATCCAATAGAATGACAGATGATAAGTTACATCGTAATTTTTAGTAGTGTCTTGCCCCTGTACATCATACTTTTCCTGTTAACAATGGAGTCATCTAACTCCATTCAGAGAGAAAAATTTTGAAATGATAAACGTGACTTGCGGTCCAAACCGAAAGTTCGGATACAGTTAATCGGGGCCTCCTGTCCTAAAGGTTTCCATATCTGGTCTCGGATTTCATCTACTTAACTCCATTCTAGAGATTAAGGAAAGACATACAGACAAACGCCACTGGAAATTTATAGATCTACAATTTTTGAAAATTGCAGACTAATAAGATACTTTGTAGATAAGTTTAGTGACTTTCCTCAATCCGGTATTTAAATTAAATATATATAATATATATAGACATGCACCTACATATACAAAATATACAATTTATCCTAAAATAATAAGATTAATTTTGTAGATGGCGAAGTGATAACAAAGGAACGAAACAGTACTAACGTTTAAAGTATAAATTGTTTTAATTTTAGTTCAAGTTTCGAAACTTTTTGCTAACCAAGTAATTGCGAGTGTGTTACTTTATGCAGAGAGGAAAAAAGATTTTAACATTTCTATTCTTCCCAACTGCCTTGTATATCCGACCTAAAGTAATCTGATTTTCCTCCTAAATTAAAACTGAAAATAAAAGGACAAAACGTCAAACGAATTGAAACGTTCAACGTCCAAGCTATAACCGATCTCACAAGAATACAGAAAGGCTTTGGAATCGCTGTGTAAATACGGAAGGAAGGCGGATATTGTTTATCATTTGTAATACAATTTTTCCAAATTTAATCTCATTATTTTCGAGGCAAACTATTAATTAATATCTAAATTAATTAATACCTTTCAAAAATATTTGGTGTGAAAAATTATTTTATGTGAAGGGGAAAAACTATTTTTAGCTTAAACAAAGCTAATTGTTTTTATTAAAACAATTAGCTTTGTTTAAGCTAATTGTTTTAATAAAAACAATTAGCTTAAACTTTAAACAAATAAAAACAATTAGCTTAAGTTAATTGTTAATTAAGTTAATTGTTTAAGCTTAAACAAAATTAGCTTAACAATTCAATCGAATTAGATCTGACAGTAATTAAAATATTTACCTGAAAAATTGTTTAACTGATCCTTTTTTGCGGTCTGGATGATGGAGACAAAAGGGACATAAGAAATTAGCCATTACTTTCAAAATTGTTACCACAAACTTCCACAATATTTCGAAAACGGTCCTCTTTGGCTTCTCCCCTCTGTTTACTCTCATAGAATTTTCTTGAGCGCGTTGTAATCTTTTCAAGGCTCTTCCAACTTTCCATATCAATAAAAATTGTCTACTAAAAATATACTTGAAATTCATCTAAAAAATAATTTTATTATTAAAATTCTGAAACATTTTTTTTAATTTAAAATAATTCTAAATTTTATATAGAATAATATGTATAATCTATTTTATGTGTTCTAGGTACGAAATGGTGTTCTTTATTGCATTAGAAACATATAAAGTTACAAATTTATAAAGGAATAAATAACAACGGCTGTAGAAAGAAAGTTATCGATCAGCAATAACATCGATCACGTGTAAGGGATGAAGACTGCATCCTATTCTTTACCCATAATGTTTGATTTTATTGCTGATCGATAACTCATAGCGAGTTTGTATTAGTAAAATCAAATTAATTCATCATAATTTATTCGTTGAGAATATTATAGGCCTTCGTTCAGAAATTCAATACATGTAAAAATGTTCATATAAAACATTTTCTACTTTATATACCGATAGTAAGTTAGTAGTTCAGTAATAAATCTTCCCCATAATGTTGAAATCGAGGAAAAATTATTGTAGCATCGTCACAAAGCCGGGCTACAATTTTTAATCACATTATTTAATTCAAAATATACATTCTCGATTTAAAATTAGTAGTGGTTTGCCCCTGTACATCATACGTTTCCTGATAACTACAGTCATGCCGGTCATCTATGTCAGTGTTCCGCAACCTTTTTCTATTTGCGGCACACTTATGACTCGACATGACTCAACACGGCACTACTGAACAGTTGAGGCAACATAAGTAAAACTATACAACGGATTCGAACCGAAAAAGCAGCACCCAGAGTAGTGATGAATCCAATGACTATACAGAATACCATAGTAGTGAAAGGAGATATGTTTATCAAATAAACAAAATACATATAAAATAAAATGATCATTCCTATTGATATTAACATTCCGATGAAGCCTTTTATCGATTGATTTTCAAATGTACCGTCTGTATTTAATCTTCTGAAATTTTCAAACATTTATTATATAAATTTAAATCGATATTTATAAAATTTTCATTTTATCTATGCACTAAACAGTAATCATAAATTAATATTACTTTAAGATTTGCTTTTTAAAATATTTTAAAGAATGATTTTTCTAATATGAAATTTTTCCTATACAAAATAGTTATTTAAAATTAATTACATTAACAGTAACATGTAACAACGATCCAATAGAATGACAGATGATAAGTTACATCGTAATTTTTAGTAGTGTCTTGCCCCTGTACATCATACTTTTCCTGTTAACAATGGAGTCATCTAACTCCATTCAGAGAGAAAAATTTTGAAATGATAAACGTGACTTGTGGTCCAAACCGAAAGTTCGGATACAGTTAATCGGGGCCTCCTGTCCTAAAGGTTTCCATATCTGGTCTCGGATTTCATCTACTTAACTCCATTCTAGAGATTAAGGAAAGACATACAGACAAACGCCACTGGAAATTTATAGATCTACAATTTTTGAAAATTGCAGACTAATAAGATACTTTGTAGATAAGTTTAGTGACTTTCCTCAATCCGGTATTTAAATTAAATATATATAATATATATAGACATGCACCTACATATACAAAATATACAATTTATCCTAAAATAATAAGATTAATTTTGTAGATGGCGAAGTGATAACAAAGGAACGAAACAGTACTAACGTTTAAAGTATAAATTGTTTTAATTTTAGTTCAAGTTTCGAAACTTTTTGCTAACCAAGTAATTGCGAGTGTGTTACTTTATGCAGAGAGGAAAAAAGATTTTAACATTTCTATTCTTCCCAACTGCCTTGTATATCCGACCTAAAGTAATCTGATTTTCCTCCTAAATTAAAACTGAAAATAAAAGGACAAAACGTCAAACGAATTGAAACGTTCAACGTCCAAGCTATAACCGATCTCACAAGAATACAGAAAGGCTTTGGAATCGCTGTGTAAATACGGAAGGAAGGCGGATATTGTTTATCATTTGTAATACAATTTTTCCAAATTTAATCTCATTATTTTCGAGGCAAACTATTAATTAATATCTAAATTAATTAATACCTTTCAAAAATATTTGGTGTGAAAAATTATTTTATGTGAAGGGGAAAAACTATTTTTAGCTTAAACAAAGCTAATTGTTTTTATTAAAACAATTAGCTTTGTTTAAGCTAATTGTTTTAATAAAAACAATTAGCTTAAACTTTAAACAAATAAAAACAATTAGCTTAAGTTAATTGTTAATTAAGTTAATTGTTTAAGCTTAAACAAAATTAGCTTAACAATTCAATCGAATTAGATCTGACAGTAATTAAAATATTTACCTGAAAAATTGTTTAACTGATCCTTTTTTGCGGTCTGGATGATGGAGACAAAAGGGACATAAGAAATTAGCCATTACTTTCAAAATTGTTACCACAAACTTCCACAATATTTCGAAAACGGTCCTCTTTGGCTTCTCCCCTCTGTTTACTCTCATAGAATTTTCTTGAGCGCGTTGTAATCTTTTCAAGGCTCTTCCAACTTTCCATATCAATAAAAATTGTCTACTAAAAATATACTTGAAATTCATCTAAAAAATAATTTTATTATTAAAATTCTGAAACATTTTTTTTAATTTAAAATAATTCTAAATTTTATATAGAATAATATGTATAATCTATTTTATGTGTTCTAGGTACGAAATGGTGTTCTTTATTGCATTAGAAACATATAAAGTTACAAATTTATAAAGGAATAAATAACAACGGCTGTAGAAAGAAAGTTATCGATNGTGCGAGTCCAATGTATAACTCCAAAAGAATAAGTAAGTACTGGGACGACATATGTGTTTATTGCTTTAACATCATTTTATTTCATCAGTGAATGAAATACAAGCATAAGAAACACAACAACTGCGATAAAAATATATAAATAAAACTTCAAATTAATAGAATATGTAAAAGTTCACGTCACACCTTTCACCTTGTGACGGCACACCAGTGTGCCGCAGTACAGCGGTTGCGGAACACTGATCTATGTAACTCCGTTCGGGTGAAATTTTCTGAATTGAAATCGAGCGATTTCTTGTCTAGACCGGATATTCGTATATAGTTAATTGGTACCTCCTGCCCCTAAGCTTTCTATATCTGGTCTTGACTTTCATCTAACACTATTCTCGAGATTAAGGAAGGACAGAAGGACAGAAGGACAGTCAACAGTGGGAATTTATAGACCTACAATTTTTTCACATTGCTGCCCAAACACACAGGAGATTTTATTTAAATTATAATTAAATTATCGACATTAGAAATTCTTAAAATTATAAACATTAAAAATGCTTATTCTGCCTTAAAATTTCTGGTTAATTTTTTAGGCAATTAATTTAATGTAATTTTAAAAATGGAATCTTACATTTTTCTGTTTCTTTAACTTCGAATATGAACGTAAAAAATAGCAAGCGGAAATATCTTATAACAATTGTTAAGGTAAAACAATGAAAAAAGTATTATTTATTAAATTAAAGTAACAATGTATTGAATACATGGCTACTTTTATTTGCTATGGGCCTATGACCCACTCAGGTATAATTAATATTGAACAACAGTTGCATTAATAATACTAATAATAAAAACTACATATATCCAGGGCTGTTCCTGGGATGTTCGCCGCCCTTATTAATTTGATGTTATTTAATTAAGAATTTGATATTCAATGTTTACTTTTATGTCTATTGCATATATACATAGTTTTAAACAGTGAATAATCATCAAAAAAGTTTTGATCATTATTCTTATTAGTCAAAATTTTACATATAATAAACGGTCTGCGGCACTTTTGCATTCTCGACAGGCTCTATATTGAACAAATTTTAAAAAATGTGTGTATGAAAGCGAGCGTTAGCGAAAAGAATTCGAATAGAGGAGTTCGAAAAAATGAACATATTAGCACATTGTAAGTACCAGGGCGGCACCCTGGTACTTTTTTAAACCCTTGTACTTTGTGAACATACGAGTCGAGGTCATCACCCCGTGTGAAGGGATCTTGGGCCGAGATGTCATTGAAGCGGCGCGACTAATGTTAGACCTTGCTAATGCACAAGTGATGCTACCCAATCGGAAGCCTATACAATTTTGCACGCCTTTACGGCCGCGCAGGAGGAAGAGGAGGCGGAAAGACCTAAATAAAAGGTAGAAAAAACTCTTCGGACATCCTACAAACTGAACGAATAACTCCCGCCGAAAGAGAAAAGAGAGGAACCCGACAGAAACGAAGCGCAAGAAGGAAAACTGCAACCGTAGAAAATTTAAGCGACCTAGAGTGACCTATAGTATCACGGGAACAGGACTGACTTACAGCGATGCCTCAACAGATTATTTCTACTGACCCTTGGGATGAATTTATTTTGAACTCTATACTCCCTCCACTACCGGAAGAACAAACGGAACCGGAAAGTGGTGAAACTGAGCCAGAAAGCGAAGTCCACGAACCGGACACGGAAGAAGAACAATAAACTACCCCTCCCTATGCACTTCGAAGTCAGGGACCAGTTGAGGAGAACCCACTCGTAGTCGAATTCCACGATTTATTTCTCAGCCGCTAGTCGGTCATCCTCCCTTTAGGTCTGCAAATCAGTTGTAACATATTGATAGGGCATTAATTTCATTTCAAGAATAGAGGTAATATAGAAAAGGAACTCTAATCAAATTATCCTACTTCAAATTCATTCCATTATTTAACCCTTGTTCAACTACTCACCAACGCCCACAGGAAAATAAACCGGAAGGGATAGCTCTCAATGAAAGGGAAAACTAACCGAAATATATCTGGGCCCTTCCGAAGAAGCGAAGCCCCGAGGCAACCCCACTCAACGAAACGTACCATCCATTGTTCAAACGTATTAAGGGTCCCTCGACTAACCATCCCAACCACCATATTTTAATCCTTCTTATATTACATATTTTATATTTTTTTCAAGGAAATATTTCTTTGTGAATTTCGTATATCCATAGTTTAATAGCGGAATATAATCGATGTTAAATCCGTTTTTTATTTTTCTGACATCCTTCAAGGAAATTTTATATCATACTAACCTAAATATAATATTAAGACTTAGAATTACCGAGAGAGAGAGAGAGAGAGAGAGAGAGAGAGAGTAAACCAACATTTTATGTAAATCTACTTAATTCCACCACCCAGGGATATTCTTAACGCTATACAGTGTTACTAATGCTATTTTATTTAAACCAAAAACAGTACCAATTTTCTTACAGAGAGTGCTGATTCACGTGCCCGGCTACCAGTCACCAACTTCAACTGACCATAACACCGTTGGACCTATACCAACCAAGTACCATCTTCTCTACGATTTCTCCAACATCGTAATCAACACCTTCACCGATTCCTGATCACAACCTCGTCCGAGTTCACCCCGTTCCACAGAAACAAGAACTCCCTCTCAGCTAATCAACGTGCAACTTAAGAAGATCCCGTTACTAACCTCAACCCATAAATATTGTCGCGAGTTTAACGTGTATCCGGATAAAATTATATGTATTGACTATCGACTAGTAAATTAAATGTTGTTATCAATTAATAAAAAAAAAACCCAAAAAGGAGAAAAAAAAGAAATTTCTAATTTTTTTGTAATAATTTCTCTAACCGAGAAATTCAACCAATCACCCAATTTTAAAATTCCACTATCTAAGTACAATTTTAAAGAAAGCAAAGAGTGATGTGAAATTCAAAGTTTATATAATTTCATAAAAGAATTTAATCCTTTACCTACAGAAACGAACTATAGAGTTCGTGAGAATTTTATAACCCTTCCTGTCCAAACATAAACATTCTCACGATGAAACCGTGTATAGTTTACAATTACAAGCGAAATTCGTCATATTGTTGTCATTCTAACACCAACTGTAACCTCCACACCTGCTAAAACAATTGATCACCTGACGAATTTTCCCACCATGAAACGTATAAAAGCAATCCTCCTTCCCCTCTCTGGAGAGAGTCGCTCGAAGTTCGTCAAAGGAAGTCTTATACTGTTATATCGCCAGACCTATTCCGAAACCTGTAGGACCTGTGCCAATTTACCGAAGAATTATCACACTGATATTTTCTCAGGAGGTATGAAAGCTTTAATCTCTCCTCCGCGAATTAGAAGTAGAGTGTTAGAAATCTTTATTTTCTTAGTTGACTTTAATAAACGGTTTGTAATGTTAAAAAAAATGGTGTCTTTATTCGACTGTGCCATCGTTTTATCGTCGACCCCTCTGACTCTCCTATCCTTGACAAAAAAGTAAATCACCGACCTATTGCCGGAAAGGAGTGGAACATCCAACCAACAATAAAAAATATATTATAGCAATATATTTTTTATGTTATTACTGTTGATTGAATCATAATCAAGTATTTGATATTGTTCTTTGCTGCTGTTGTCGTCATTCAGGTATTGTAAATTACACATATTCAAATAAGCTGAAACAGAATAATTTTAATTACAGATCTCTTCATGTAATTAAATGCCAGAAAAGTATCGTGTTTTACAAATCCATGCTCTACGAAACAAAAGACACGTACAAATCATAGGGATATTGTCCAAAAGTTAGGCAAAGTATACTATTCATTTTCGTAATGTAGAAAAACTATGTTTATTAAAGCAATCAATAATTAATTAACAATCACGGTCAACAGTATTGCACTTTACTTTTTATTCGCTGATAGACAGAGTTAAAACCATATTATTAAACAATTAAATAATACAGTAGAACACTGATTATCTAAGAGGACTAAAGACAGCCAGGGCCATTTCAGATTAAAAATTACAAATATTTTATATGGTAAATCACTTTTTATACCATAGTACATATAATTATGCATATGAATATCAATTTTATGCCATTTATTACACATATAATGCTTACATATATTTTTTATTCTTAAAACTATTCTATTATTGTAGTACATTTTAATATAAATGGTTTGTCTAATTTAACATTAAAGTTAAATAATACAAGGTTAAGATTATACAAATAATCCTCTGGTGATTCTGTAAACATATCTCATTGAATAATGTGTTAGGCGTTATTGTTTTTCACAAATTTTCATTCAGTCTATTGTAGATTATAGTTTATCGATTTAGGTCATGGCTGCCCCCTCTCTTTTAAAGAAAATTGCTAGAGTCTAGATGAGATGAAATTTTTAATTAATTACAACAAAATACATAATTTATTTAGACTAGCGCTTAAATTACAAATAATTAGAAAAAAAAGAAACAGATTTTTAATCAAATTTAAACTTTTCTACCCATAACATCCTTCAAACTTAACTTCAAAAAATAATAATATATTATAAAAATATAAAATAATAGCTAGGGGCGCCCCTAGTGGGTGTTTTTGGCATACCGTGGCAGAAACCGGTTTTCCGCTTTTATATACAGTAGATAATCACTTAATGACATCTAGTTAAATTCCCTGCTAATGGATGGCACTGCTTGTACTTTAGATTAAGTATAAATAGATGAAAAATCCTTATTATAACAGAGGACGTTGGTGGTCGGATTTGCTGCGCTCCGCCTGGGTGTTTGCGTTGAAGCTTGCAGCCTGGGCTCGAAGCACCAGTTTCCTATTTCTTTTTCCCCTCAAGCGCTCCGCCATCATGCTTGCGTTGAAGCGTGCAGCTGGGTTTCGACCCACATGTCGCCTTTTTCTTCTTTTTTTCTCTCAAACGCTCCTCCATCAGGCTTGCATTGCAGCAATGCAGTCCTGGATTCGCGCCCCCAGTCGCCTTTTGTTTTTTTTTTCCTCTTTAAAATTTCATTCATCTCGGCAGTTACGTCCACACATATCTAACTTACGTAATGTCGAACATCGCATTCCAAAATAACTATTGGGTTTCTGTAAATCAATTGATTTATATCCTCATCCGTAGTGTTTGTTTTAACGTAGCGCCATCTATTGGCAGGAAATTTAACGAACCGATAAAAATAAATATAAGTTTCATAAAAAGAATATAACTTTAAAATATATATATTATATTCACTTAATAACGTTTTGTTAAATCATTTTATTAAATTAAAATCATAAATCCGATATTTAAACAAAATATAAATTTTTATTTTGATTTTACAATTAATGTAGGTGGCGCATGGTGATTTTACTTCATAATTAAAGATGTGGGACGCAAAGAGCCCTTTGTTGCCGAGCGGTCTTCGTACCCGGAACACTGGGAGCTCGGTCGTAGGTTTGCGCCGTGATCGGACAGGTTGGCTGCTTGGAGTTTTCCGGGTTTTCTCCTTGCCAATAACGACTAAATAGGAGGCCAGTTCACCATAAAAGTCCTGCTGGAAGGCATTAGTTCCCCTCGCGTAACATCGCCCCCCAGAGAAGGTAACGGGAAACCACTCTGGGTACTAACTTTCCCTAGTAACGCCTTGGTGTATTTACTAACTACTTACTAACTGCGCCGGCTGTGGCCGAGGTCG